AACGGACGAAGATAATGAAAAGATAGAAAGAAAGAAAGAAAGAAAGAAAGAAAGAAAGAAAGAAAGAAAGAAAGGAAAAAAAATATAAGAAAAAACGAAGATAACGATAGATAAGAACAGACGAATTTGGTAGATAGATAGATAGATAGATAGATAGATAGATAGATAGATAGATAGATAGATAGAACATAATCTTTGTGGACATGCACATACATTCAAAATAGCCTACAGTATCTTGCTAGAGAATAATAACAATAACCGTGTTTTCATGGTAACATCGACCGGATTTGACTTATGTGTTCTGATTTTCACCAATTAATGACTAAATGACCATCGTCCAAAAGGCAGGTAGAAACATTTACCGCAACAAACCAGCATTTTCAGCTCTCCCCATTCATTACCACCCTACAATCCTCAAGTTTCACATGACCATCTCTAAAACCATCCAGGTCTTATCAAGGGTTGGCCATGCAACTTCAGAACCTTATTGAATCTTTGAAAATTACAAACACAATCTTGATTTGTCAGTTGTTCTCTGATTACCTCATAGGCACTAAAAGTGATGTTCGGTAAGAAACAGAAAAATGTTCTTAAAAAAACGATCATAACAAAATTAAAATAAAACAAAATAACCTTATATTACTTACTAGCAGGAGAGCCCGGCGTTGCCCAGGGATGTAACAGTAAGAGATAGATCAAGTTTCGAACATCATAAAGACTGAAAAATAAAATTGACAAAGATTATTGTTTAAGGTTGACGAACACGCATGTCTTAATTTTTTTTTTTTTTTTTTTTTTACGAATTGGTCAAACCCAAACTCAAACAAAACATTGTTTTCAAACGTTAGGAGGCTACCGATTTAATTAGAATTTTATTATAAACAATTGTCTTGTAAATGGAATTTTTAAAGCATTCTGAATGTTAAAAATAAAAGAAAAAATGTGCAAGACAATAAGAAACACTACCTGCCAAAAAAAAAGTGAAGTTTTGTTGAAATCGGTTGAAAAATGTAGGAAATCCGATCCCATATATAAACGAACACACACACAAACAAACAAACAAACAACCTGGGTTTTATAATAAGTATAACTCGATATGAGTTGTCCTCTTTTCATGCTCGAAACAGCGATGCCTCTTAATCGTGTTTTCAAATTGATTTCGTGCAAAAGCAATTGTGTTTTTCCAATTTTTGGCACTGTCAGAACCACCGCAAGGTAATTTTACGCAGTCCTGTGAAGCTTTGTTGAAATCAGTTGAAAAATGTAGGAAATCCGATCCAATATATAAACGAACACACACACACAAACACACACACACACACACACACACACACACACACACACACAACCTGGGTTTTATAATAAGTATGATGTCTAAAGCAATCCTGAATTTTTTTAAAAATTATATTGAAAAATTATTGGCTCCACTCCCTTCACAAAATCCGATCAAATGTACAAATACCAGAATTGGGGTTGGGAAGAACATTTCAATTCTTCTTCGTCTTAGCAACTCCAAGAGTAAATAGCTTTAGATATTACATGCAAAATTTGTTAAACTCCTGTCTTAATAAGTCCGATATTTTTTTAAGGTAATTCACTCCAAGCAAGGCGAGAGTGCGACTAGCACGCAAGGGGTTACAGAGGATTGAGAACAAGAGTAAAGAAGCATGTTTGAGGAAAGGATACAGAGAAAGACGGGGAACAACACCAAAGTATCAAATGTCTATTGACATTACACTTGAATATTTGAATATTATAGTTATCGGGGAAGCAAGTAAGGGGAAGGGAGTTCTACAGATGGGAAGTGCAGGAGAAGAAGCTGTTTGAGAAGAAGAGACGGTTACATTTAACCGTTTTGACAGTGAAAGGGTGGGGCCGAGATGCCAGCCTGGTAACCCTTTTAAATTCATAAAGTCCTGGAACCAGCGAAAGTAAATCGTTGGAACAGTTGCCATGAAACTATTTGTAGGGAAGGCGTGAGACCAAGAGGGCGTAACGAGGCGCTCCCAAGGAGTTGGTAGCTGATCTAAAAATGACCTACAATCTGTTGTTAACTAGGGTAAGGAATTACTTGCTAATTTTAACTCATCCAAAATTAAACTGTTCATCAATAATCTGAAAGACCACTTTCTGCCTTTCATCAGTATGGCTGATGCTAACCTTTAGGAGGGTGACTTGTTGAGCCTTCTCGGGTTAACGTCAAGTGAAATGATTATATTTGAATCAATTGCTAAATCTGCAGCTAGAAAAGTTGGTTCACTATGGTGTGCTCGACAATTTTTTTTTTCTTTCGCGAATCTATCTTAAGTATTTATAAATCTACCATTCTTCCAGGCAATGAATATTGCTACTACATCTGGTCTAGTGTTCCTGCTATATATTTAGAGATTCTTAAATCCGAATAGGAATCTGCAATGATATTGGTCCTGACTTAGCATCTCGCCTTCTTCTCTTTCCTGTGATGTAGCTTCCCTGTGCGTAGTACAAGATTAAGGTCTCATCATTTTATCGTTCAAATGGCTCGATGTAACCGTACGTTCTGTGTTAACAGTTTCTTCTCTCGCACTTCTCGATCGTGGAACTCTTTTGCGCTTTCTCGCTTTCCAGTCAAGGATTTTAACGTAATGTCCATCGTTATCGCCTGCCTTCTTAATACTTCTTCTTTTATTATTCTCTCTCCTTAATAGTATTTTTCTTTTATTTTTTTCTCATACTCTCTTGCACCCAGAAACTTCTTACGTCTTAGTGGCTTTATTACCTTTCTTAGGGTGAAATGATTAAAAAAAGCCATGACTTGCTGAGGTAACGAACTACGAAATATATGTAAATGGGTGACAAAACAGTGAATTTTCGTAAGGAGACAAACCTTGCTTAGAACTACAAAGTATTTATATTTCTAGAGAGCCATTATCGACAACGATCTGAATGAACATGATACATAGAAAAAGATGCAAAATTAGAAAAATACACAATTTTTATAGGTTTATTCTAATCTGGGGGCTTCTATTGCTGCTCCATTATCTTAATATACGGAAACCTAAACAGACAATAAAAAAAGGGTGATTATCTTTTCTTCTTCGTTTTTCTTCCCTGACGAGAAACTAAATCCGTGCTGTTAATTTGCGGTCAAATTTTAACAGAAGTTTAACATTAAAAATCAGAAACTTTACACAGAAATGGTAAGTTTTGTATATTTTTCGCTTGGATTCCTGAGCAATCAACGTATCAGATTTTTGTAATTTTGTCCGAAAAAGAGATTAGTACTATCAAAAGTTTAAAAAGAGAAAAATAGTAATATAGGTCATATCATTTCAAGTTTTTAACTTTAATCACCAAAAACCGAATAATCAAGAGGTGGGGTATTGAAGAATTATGTTTATTCCCGTTACTTCCCCTCTCCCAATATATTGTTGTTTTTTTCGACTTGAAAATGAAAATGAAAGATAATTCATTTTTTTACAGTATTTACATTAGTCGGATTATTGTCCTCACCTTTGTCGCCATATTTGTCACAACGTTTCGGCCGTTGTACGCTCCGGCCTTCTTCAGGTGGTTGGAATTTCGAACTGAACCCTTTATTTCGATCACTGGGGTAGACTGTTCTAGTTCCACGTGCCATGTTTGATGGATGTCAATTGTCAGTTATCTCCTGCTAATTTTCCCTCTGAAAGTTCTCCACTGCCTTAACCAGGTATTGAACTTACCTTCTTTGGGTCTGTTACTGGATCTAACCAACGCCTTTATCCACTGTGCCATGTGTCCTTGAACTAGCAGGAGATAACTGATAACTGACATCCATCAAACATGGCACGTGGAACTAGAACAGTCTACCCCAGTGATCGAAATAAAGGGTTCAGTTCGAAATTCCAACCACCTGAAGAAGGCCGGAGCGTACAACGGCCGAAACGTTGTGACAAATATGGCGACAAAGATGACTAATAGTCCGACTAATGTAAATACTGTACATAATACCTCATCTCAGAAATATAAACAAACTTCGAATTCATTTTTTATTTTTAATCTTCTGTACATATGAACATATGAAGCAACAGAAATGTGGTTCTACAGGAGGATGCTGAGGATATCATGGACTAAATATGTGAGCAACAACGATGTTCTAAAGAAAATAAAAACAAAAAGGGTACTTATAATTAACTTCAGTAAGAGACAGCTGAAGTTTCTATGACGCATGATGAGGAAAGAAGGCTTGGGAAATCTGATACTCACAGGACAAATTGAAGGCAAAAGGATCAGCGAAAAACAATGTATAGCGTACTTAGTGTGCTTCAGTAAATGGATGTCGGAACAGGGTTTGAGAGAAATAGCAAAAAGACAAAATTTATTAAGAGTTACAAAGGACAAGAAATTGTGGAGAGTCATGATCCCCTACATCCTGAGGCGACATAATACATGAAGAAAAAGAATTGGAATTTATGAGCGTCATCTACTGTTGAAAGTAAGAAAAAAAATTTGGCGTAGTATTTTATAGTGATTTTCCCAGGGTAGTTTAGATGTAGTACAAGGCCGAAAGTATAGGGCACCCAGTGAGGATCGAACTCACTACTCAGCCGTATATTGTTTTAATGTGACAAGCATTCTAACCATTACACCACCTCAAGAGGCCCAATGGTGTAGTATTTTAAATGTAGTGCTTGCTTTACGAACTTGTTCTTAATAGTTGCTCGACAAATAATGGCCTTGCCTCAAAGAATTGATTTTCTAAGCAAGACTTAGATGTGGCACATGGCCAAAAGTATGGGGTATCCAGTGAGGATCGAACTCACTATTCAGTTGTAACAAGGCAAGCTTGCTAACCATTACACCACGACGAGGCGTCCCAAAAGATTTTCCAAGCGAAGCTTAGATGTGGCACAAGGCTGAAAGCATGGGGCATCCAGTGAGGATCGCCTTGCCTCAAAGTATGTGACTATTTACAACAGCAAATATCTGTGTATGAGCTTTTTTTTTTCCTTTTCCATTGCCCTTCCTTTTCCTTGCATATGTCGCATACATTAGTTTCAGTTTTCTTCTCTTTCACTCTCTTTGTCTTTCACCTTGCTCTCCTTTTACTACCTTCCATTTCTTTAACAAATTTTTGGAAGAGAATATTTTTTTGGCCTTTCTTTTCTATTTGTCTTGAATAGAACTATTTTTTTATTTTTCTTGCTCTCAGTTTTTCTTTTCCTTCCTTTCTCCATTTATTTAATCTTCCTTTCTCTTTCTCCCTCTCTCACTTTCCTTCGCTCCCTCTCTGTTTGCCTTCCTTTCCCGTTTTTCTTTTTTTTTTTTTGATCACTTTTTATTTTTCCTTACTCTCCTTTTTTGGTTTTTTTCCCTTCCGCCACTTATTTAAGCTTCCTTTCTCTTTATCTGAATATATTTCTTCCCTCTCTACCTCTCTCTCCTTTTTTTCTCTCTCTCTCTTTCTCTGATTCTCTCTCTCTCTCAATTTTTTTCTTTCATTTTTAATTAACAAGAAAACTTCCATCTTCCTTCTTTTCTACACTTTTTAAACATATTTTATTCTCTTTTCCTTTGGTTTTTTTTCTATTTTTTTGCCATCTTTTTTCTTTTTCTTACCTTCCCTTCTCAGTTCTTTCTCCATTTTTTTTTTAATTTTCTTCTTCTCTCTTTTTTCTTCCATAACATTCTCTAAATTTTCAAAAATTCACCTTTTTTTTTCTATTCTTTCTAAATTAAACTTTTTAAATTTAAAAACTTTTTAGTTTTTTTTTTTCTTCTCTTCTTTCTTTTTCCTTCCTTCCTTCTTTCCTTCCTTCCTTCTTTCTATCTTTCATTCTTTCTTTTTCCGTATTTCTTTCTTTCTTTCCTTCTTTCTTTCTCTTTCCTTCTAGCTATATTTCTTTCTTTCTTTCTTTCTTTCTTTTTCCTTCCTTCATTTCTTCCTTCCTTCCTTCCTTCTTTCCTTCCTTCTTTCTTTCTTTCTTTTTCCGTATTTCTTTCTTTCTTTCTCCTTCTAGCTATATTTCTTTCTTTCTTTCTTCGTACTTCTTTCTTTCTTTCTTTTTCACTACTTTTTATTTATCCTCTATTAGTTTCTTTCATTTTCCTCTCCTTTTCTTCCATCTTTACTTTTACTGCTTTTCCTTTTTTTATCCTTTCTTTCTTTTTCCTATCTCTTTCTTACTTTCTATCTTTCTTTCTCTCTTTTTTCCTTTGTTATTTCTTTCTTCTTTTTTCTTTCTTTCTTACTTTCTATCCTTCTTTCTTCTTCCTTTTTTCTTTCTTTTTTTCATCAATCTCATTGCCTTTATTCATTGCGTTTGTCTTCTTTCTATCTTTATTCAATTTCATGACTAGAATCGAAGTAAGACACCAAATATTTAAGCTACCTGTAAATTGCTTTCAGTTTCATTCGTTTCATTTTTGTATTTTTAGAAATCTTCTCTAGTATAGAAAAGATCATTTCCTGGTAAAACGAATATCGCTTAACTTCCGAGAAACATTTCAGAGAATCGAGACTAATATAAAGTTACCAATACTCACGTGTTTTGGGGTCTGGAGCTATGCAGGAAGCAGCGGGGTTTATTCACTGTTCACATGAATAATGAATAGAATCGTTTTCTTTTATTATGGATAAAATTTATTAGACGCAACGGTAACCAATGGTGACATAGAAGAGGGTAGAAGATGATGTAATTATGAAACAGTCTTTTAATTTCTGCCCCGTTGTTGTGTTGTTAACTATGAATAGATACAAAACAATCCGCCCCAACTATATATATAAATATATATATATATATATATATATATATATAGTGGATAATAATGAAATGGATTAAGTTCGACAGTTATTTAATATATTTTATATTTATACGTTATTTTTTATAGTTATAATTTATTTAAGTAAATGCTCTTTTTTTTTCTTTTTGAAACAAAGATTATTAAATGAATGTCCGAGAAAATTTGCGCTCTTCGACAGGAATCGAACCTGTAAATTTTATGGGGAACCGTCATTTGATCTAGCGTGCTGTTAATCATTCATTGATTATAAATTTTTTTTATATTTATATATATATATATATATATATATATATATATATATATATATATATATATATATATATATATATATATATATATATATATATATATATATATATATATATATATATATATATATATATATTTAATTATATACTGACGCGCTTCGTCTAATGTGGACTTTCTCAAATTTGAAATGAATTTATCAGGTCATCCCATAAGTTCTGTCCGAATTTTAACTTTTTTTGTTAAAATGAACGAAATTTAAAGAGTATTTTATAATGTCTAATGGAGCTGAACATTATTTTTATGTTTAGATGCATTTAAACTGATCAAATTTTATTTCAGAGAACAATAAAATTAAATTTTGTTTGATTAAAACCCTGCTAACATGGAAGTACAAAAAGAATCATTTGAGGCACATAATGCTTTATGAGTTCAAGAAAGGAAACTCAGCAGCCGAAGCGGCTAGAAACATTCACTCAGTTTATGGAGAGGAATGTGTGAATGAAAGAACTTGCAGAAGATGGTTTGCAAAATTCAGAGGTGGAGATTTCACCCTTGAAGATGAAGATCGAACCGGACGTCCAGTTGAGTTTGATGAAAAGCTTCTTGAAGCAGCCCTTGAAGAAAATCCTGCTTTATCAGTTGAGGAATTGGCAGTGGTTCTCAGTTCAAACCATACAACTGTTCATCGTCATCTTCAACAACTTGGAAAAGTTCCTAAACTTGGAAAATGGGTGCCTCATGAATTGTCTGAAAACAACCTCAAATCCCGAGTTGACATCTGCTCTTCTCTCCATTCTCGCCAACTTGTTTCACCTTTTTTGGATAGACTTGTGACTGGCGACGAAAAATGGATCTTTTATCGAAATGTTAAGCGTCGTAGACAGTGGCTTGGTAAAGGGAAGGACCCCAGCCACAGCCGAGAAGGGAACTTCATGGGCAAAAGGTTCTTCTTTCAATCTGGTGGGATCGCCAAGGAATAATCCACTTTGAATTCTTACCACCTAATGCAACAATTAATGCTCAAATATACTGTCAGCAATTAGAGCGTTTTGAACCAAGCTTTGACAAAAAAAAAGACCTGCTCTAGTGAATCGAAAAGAGGCGATGTTTCATCAGTACAATGTGCGACCCCACACAGCAAGAATCACGTCACAAAAGATCGAAGAACTTGGTTGGGAGAAAATTCCTTATCCACCTTATTCTCCCGATCTTGCTCCTTCAGACTACCATTTGTTTCGTAGCTTACAGAATCATTTGGAAGAAACAGCTTTTGTAACACAGGAAGAGGTTAAAACTGACATTTGTGAGTTCTCCAAATCAAAGCCAAAATAATTTTACAGTAATGGAATTAGTAAGCTTGTTAATAGATGGAAGGAAGTCATAGATAATCAGGGAAAATTCATTGTTGATTGAATCTGTAATTAAATGTAACATTTGGTCACTTGTTTTCTTTATTTAAAATTCAGACAGAACTTATGGCATGACCTGATATTTAAACAAAGTAAATAATAAAAACAAAACCAAATGTCCTTAGCAAATGGAAGAATTTAGAGGACGCCATTTTCATACTGTTAACTGAAAATTACGTCAATTACTGTTACATATGGAGATATTGGACGAAACGTGTCAGCAACTACCACAGTTTTCCTATTGTCATTTATATTGAAAAATATTGTCTTTTCTACAGGTTAACTCAAGAAATTTATATATATATATATATATATATATATATATATATATATATATATATAATCATTTTCAGTTTTTTGAAAGTGGATGCGAGATATTTGAGTTAAACTTTAAATGTTTAGTTTTTGAACGAAAGTATATTTTTTTTTATTTGAAAAAATATTATTAAAGAAAATGATATGCCTTCCGACATGTTTAGAATCTTCAAGTGAAATCATGGTTAGATCCGATGGACTCCAAATTGACTTGGCCATGAAGGTTATTGCCGATCAAACAAGGCCGAACAGTGTCTTATAAGCGAAAATCCTTCTCAGATTCTCGAAAGCTCACATCTGTTCAGTTTCCTATCCGAACGTAAACAAAGCAATTTCTAAAGAAGTAAAGGATTTTTGATTTATTAATCAGTCAGATCTTTTCACTTTAAACGTTATTTTAGTGGATACTCATATTAGAATAGACGCTCCATTTATTTTTTAAACAGTATATTTATTTATTTTTGTCTATCCGCCTAAATATTCGGGAAATCTTATTAAAGAAGAATATACGCTCTTTGGTAGGATTCGAATCTGTGTCCCCCCACCATTTTTCTGGAGAAACCGTCGTTAGCTTCGGATTCGGCTACGAAGGTTCCCGCCGACCAAGTATAGCTGAATAGTGCTTTGAAAGATTATTAAGGGACGGAATCTCTAGCAGCTGTCGATCACAGCAATGTCGAAGTCAGCGAATTTTCTTGATTTGAGGAAACTTTCTGTCCCCTAACTAACAGTTATCCATCGTGCAGAAATTCAAGAATGTCCTAAAAAGCGACGAACCGGAAATTCAATGGAACCGGATCAATTCGATCTAAGCGATAATAGAACAATTCTGGTAAAACCGCAAATATAGTCTTTGTCTAGAAAACAACCTAATACAAAAGGAATACAAGAACGCACATGACAGAGTAGGAACAGTTATATACGAAAACTGTGCAAATGATCAGGCTTCGATCATGTAGACAAATATTATTGCTACAAAAAAAAAACTGAAAAAGTATCCCTAGTACATCATGATTCAGATTGATCATCTCGTAAAATTCACTCAATCTTCTGCTTCAATCACCAGACATCAGGTACGAACATTTTTTTTTTTTTACATTTAACCCCAAGGAAGGCGATAATATCACTGAGACGGGTGAAAGAAAATGCGAAAGTTTTACTGAAGAGAAAGGACAATAAAAGAACAAATTTCGGCAAGACAGATGGTGATGGCCGCTGCATTTAAATCATTGGAGCTTGTAGATAGCAAGGAAGAAAGAAACCGGAAGTGCGTTCCACAGACGAGTAAAGAAACTATTAGAATATAGTAAGCGGTTGTATCTAGCTATTTCAATAGTAAAACGATGAGACCTAATTGCCAATCTAGTAGTACGTTTAAATTCTTGCGGTCGAGGCACCAAGGAGGAAAGCTCAGTAGAATAATTGCCATGAACAGATTTATAGAAAAGACAAAAAGCAGCCACGTCACGGTGACGGGATTCAATATGCCATGTCAGGACCGATAACATTAGAGAATCTTCTTCGGATTTTGTTGAGAATCTAGAGATATGTAGCCGGAACAACAGACCAGATATGGAAGCAATATTCAGTGCTCGAAAAAAACAGTAGAGTTATAAATGGATTCTGACGAGAAAATTGTCTATAACGAAACGTTGAGTCAACTTTCCTCGTGGCAGACCTAACAATTGATGCAATATAATCCCTCCATTTCATGTTAGTGGCAAACGTGATCCCAAGAAAGTGCTATAAGGTTAGCACCAGTCATGCTGATGGAGGGCAAAAAAGGTTCTCTATGATGACTAAAAGTCAGTAGTTTCGTTTTTGACGCATTAAAGTTTAAAAGCCATTTCTTGCCTTTGCTAACAACCGATTGGATTTACTTTGTCGGACCTATCGAACTAAGACAGGATTAAATAGTTGGGTCATCGCATAAATATATAGTTAGGAACTGATGACATCGTGAAGGTCGTTGGTTAAGATAAGAAACAAGTAACATGCTTAGAATATTGCTGCCACATATAGTCCGAAGCACCTGTTATTTACATTGAGCTCCTTGATAAATTCTAAAAAAAGAATCAGCAATATTATAGGCCCCGATCTGACGGCTCGGATTCAGTCACTTTCCTACCACTCGCTCACTTTCTGAGCGACTGTTGTGATAAACTCTCTTCCTTTTATGTTATATATAGGGAAAATGAAGGAGGCTACGCCGAAGGGCAGGGTCTCCTTCCTTCATTTAAACTCGGCCCTGAACCCGTTTATACGGGTTCAAATGGGCACATCTTGTTGCTTTGGTGCCGAGCCATTTTGTTGAAAGAAAATTCTGGAATGCCCAATAAAAAGGCCATTTGATAAATCTGCAAAATGACAAGTTTCGTGGGGGGGGTGACTGAATATTTTTCCTAAGATATAAGGTTGAATTTTCTCTGTGTCTTTTCTATAAATACTTTCATTGGCAATTGTTAGACGACTCTGGTATCCTACCTAAATTTAATATATATATATATATATAAGTCAAGATCCTATCAATTTATAGTTGAGCTGGCTAGATGTAACTCTAAGTTCTATGTTAACAGTTTATTT